CACACACACGCACACGCACACACACACACACACGCACACACACAAACACACACACTCACAAAAAAAAAACGACTGGGTTGGCACAGACCGGCAGCGTTGAAGCCTACTGTGTCGCTGGAGACGTAAACGTACATAATAATATTACCCCCCAAAAAAATAATAAACAAGAAATCCTCTATATGCAACAAATTGCCTGAAACTTTATCTTGATACAGCTGTTACCAGATACTGTTATTTAGCAGAAATCTTCTGATCCAAACGTGTCCTCGGTAGTATAGTGGTAAGTATCCCCGCCTGTCACGCGGGAGACCGGGGTTCGATTCCCCGCCGGGGAGGTACTTTTTTTTCTTAAATACTTTGTTTTACACACAATAATATGTGAGGCATTCTGACAAAATGAGTTACTTCATTATATTGGCCAAAAATCGAAATTACGGTCAAATTTGTAGATTTTCTATTGATGCTATATTCTTTAATTATAACCTGTCTTTTATTATTTCATACTTATAAATTGTTAAAACTTCACTTATAAGCGTGATGTATCTATTTCCTTAAGGTTTGAATCCGAGAAGTAATTCATTTTGTCAGCCCGCTTCACATATATTTGTTGCTTACACGAGTGTGTTTTAAATATCATTTCCTTTTGTCTTGTTCTTACGAGTATGTTTCAAATATATCGTTTCCATTTGTCTTGTTCTTACCTGTATTTTGATCTTTATAACATTTTTTGGGTCGTTTTCTTCAACCCCCCCCCCTCTCCCCACTTCTTATATGGATGTAATCTACTGATTTGTTGGCTTTATTGTTATTGTGGTTATTATGTATATTTTTCAGCACAGCGTAGACAAATGTTTGGACCCGACAAAACTGACAAATTCCGGTGCTGGATGGGCTGGGAAGAAATACAGCTACCAAGACATGCTCAGGTTAGAATATTATAGTGCTTGTCAATGACTCTTGAGCCCCGAGGAGATTTTTTTTTTTTGGTAAAGGGGAGGGGGGGGGAAGAAAGTGGACGACAGAAGATGATTGGAATGCTGAAAAGGAGATAAAAGGAGAAAGTTTCAAAGAAGGAATTATTTTCCGTCACTGTAAGGTTTCGAACCCCGGGACCTATAGAATACAAGGCGGACACCGTACTTTTGGACCACAGCAGCCCCCTGCTTACACTTTATTAGAAATTTTGGGAGGACACTATTTTTGTATCATCCACCTACAGGTATTCAGATGCATTTTCAAGTGAGGCAATTATTCTAAATTATCAATACTCCTGTGATCCGGGCCACGGCCCATTAAAAGTACAAAAATGACCCACTAGTGGAGAATACCGAACCCACGTTGAGAAGTATTGAGTAAGATGAAACGTGTGCGAAGCCTGAGCAGTCTTTAATCTCTCTCTCTAACGCCATTTTTAACTCCCAGTGGAGCACAAGCCATCAACAGCATTGCTCCAGCGAAGCCTGTCCTGAGCATCCTTTTCTGTTTCCATGATGTCCCCGCTTTTTCAATTTCCGCTTATACCACTCGCCTCGATGTCATCTTTGGTCTTCCCTTCTTACGTTTAATCTTTAATATGATGATAATATTACAATAACTTTTGCTATTCGATTTTTCACTGTAGTGTACTTCTTAGCTGCCCACCAGAAAGCCATTGAAAAATGTACGTTTAATGTTGTTTCCATGTGGGCTGCGCTTGTATAATGTGTACGTGTGTGTGTATTTGTAAGTGTATAATGTATGTGTAAGTGCATGTGTTTGTATATATGCAT